TGGATTTTAATTGTTACAAGTAACAGATTACTTGTGACACATTTTTGCAACTGTGGAGTTACATCTTTGGGAAATCTATATAGGATATTTGCAATTTCTATCAGCATTATAAGTGCATCTACCCTAGTGGCTCAGAACTCCCCTTTCTGAGAATTTAGACTACAGTTTTGTCTGCACATGTGTGCTGTACTATTTGTAAATGGAACATGGCTTTTTTTTTTTTTAATTGCAAAGATTGAAACAACCTAAATGTCCTTCAGTAGGGAACTGATTAAGCAAATTATAGTACATCCACACAAGAAATACTATGCAGCAGTAAACTAAAACAAGATGATGAGGAAGTTATTTTTATACCATTATACAAAATATATTATAGGGTGGCCAAAACATGTTGTTTAGTGATAAAAATAAGGTGGAAAACTACATATATAAATGCTTCCTTTTTTGTAGTGGTTAGCATAGTGCCTGGCAAACAGTGAATGTTCAGTAAATTTTTTTTTTTTTCCTAAAAGAGTTAAATTTTGAAGTAGAATAGGAAGGAGAGACAGGCAAAAGTGAGTGCCTAGGGGTAAAAGGAAAATTTGGTAAATCCGTGGAGAATATATAACTCCCCTCCTCAACACCTATCTTGCCTCTGAAAAGTCAGAGGTCTGACAGTAAGGCCTGTGGTGGGAGAACTTTCCCTTTCCCAGAGGCCTTTCCCTCTGGGAAAGGGAAAGTTAAATGTGGGCAGGATCTAACTCTTTCGTGTATTCACGTATTTATTATGTTTCATCATTTGGGCTTTTATGGTACCCTTAATGTATACTTTAGCCAGGGATGCACAGGTCTCTGCATCTATTTTACTTCCTGCAATAAAAAGGCTTCCCTGAAAATAAAAGGATATGAGTGGGAGGAGGGGTGATGATTTAGCAACTAGGATAAATAAACCTTTGAAAAGCATAAGGGCCTGAAAAGTGCTTGTGAAGTAGTAAGAAAAAATTAAAAAGACAATGATTTGGGAAAGGAAGGGAGGGAAAATGGAATTGAGTGTGAAAATACCTGTAACCAACTGTTTCTCTATAACTGGCATCCAGTGAATTTCTTTGGTGGTGCTATTTAGAGTCTGGGATTTGGAATCTAGAGTAGACTTCAGATACTGTTTTAGGATCAAGGGAACTGAGGGCTGGGCTGGGTAGGGAGGGGAGATCTCAAACCCACAAACATGGGACAACAGAAAAGGGGGAGAGAGTTTTTGGGTCTAGGGGTCAATAAGTAGGTGAGGAGTCCAGTGGGGTCTGGACTGCAGGACATCAATTATCAATGTTCTTCACCATCACCACCCACTTTTTTAAAAATCTCGAATGCACATAATTACACTGATACACTCAATCATAGATTTGTTTCTTGGGCTACAGTTTCCATTAAGCTAGACACAACCCCACTTTTTCTCTCTTTCCTTTCTTAACTGTACAAGGCTGTTTATTGAAGCATTGCTTATAACAATTGTAAACGTTGTGAATGACCAACAATAAGGGAATTATTGCAACATTGTTTATAAACATTGGGAAGAAAGTGAATGGTTGGTCTCTCCTTGTTTTAGTTATTCCTCTTTAGCTTCCTTCCATTCCGTTTCGTTTCCCTGTCTTCCTGAGATCACCCATGTATATATGTACATCCACACATAGAATATTTTTTTTATGTTGTTGAATATGTATTTTCCTTAATGGCTTGTCCTTTCCATATCTTAAGGATATTTTGCTCTACAGCGATATCATCAAGATAATGTCCAATATATCTCTTTTAAAGACACATGGGGATGACATTGACATGTGTGACATACATGGGTTATAGACATGCCTCAGCAGAAAAATTACTCAGTTTTCTTCCTATCAGGAATTCAAGTTAGTGAGAATAACAAATGGGAATAATATTGAAACCACTTCTCTTTCTTTTTTTCCCCTTTTTTTTTACAGTAGAAAAGAAAAGTTTTATTAGAATAGAAAGTACACTTCCAGAAGTGGAAGCAGGCCCGAGCAAGAGAAACGTAGCTTGAAAGGCCCACTTCTATTTCTTAAACTATAAATAAATGGCTGGATTTTAATTGTTACAAGTAACAGATTACTTGTGACACATTTTTGCAACTGTGGAGTTACATCTTTGGGAAATCTATATAGGATATTTGCAATTTCTATCAGCATTATAAGTGCATCTACCCTAGTGGCTCAGAACTCCCCTTTCTGAGAATTTAGACTACAGTTTTGTCTGCACATGTGTGCTGTACTATTTGTAAATGGAACATGGCTTTTTTTTTTTTTAATTGCAAAGATTGAAACAACCTAAATGTCCTTCAGTAGGGAACTGATTAAGCAAATTATAGTACATCCACACAAGAAATACTATGCAGCAGTAAACTAAAACAAGATGATGAGGAAGTTATTTTTATACCATTATACAAAATATATTATAGGGTGGCCAAAACATGTTGTTTAGTGATAAAAATAAGGTGGAAAACTACATATATAAATGCTTCCTTTTTTGTGAAAGGGTCAAAATATATTTGAACTTGTATTCAAATTTGCTTACATATGCATAAAGATATGCTGAAAGAATTCATAAGAAAATAAGGGTAGTAGTTACCAATGGAAACAGGACCAATGAGGGACAAGAATTTGAGGGAGATTTTGTATTGTATACCTTTTATATAGTTTCTGTCATTTGAACTCTGTGACAGCAGTAACTATTTAAAATTAAATTACAAGAAGTTTGGGAAGCAAAGTAAAGTATCAGCAGATTTAGAGACTTCTTTATAACTTCCATTCCCTTAGTCCCTGGGGCTAAACACCTTCCTCTTTCTCTTTATAGCTGGGCTGCAATAAGTTTTAACCCACAAGAAACATGTATTAAGTATGCTTAAATTACAGAGAACAGTGCTAGGTACTAGGGCTCCCAAGGGACAAAGGAAAACAAAGCATAGTCCCTGCCCTTGAAGTTGTCCAGGTGGACTTTATCATTCTTTTTAGCAGCTAGAACAAGAATCAAAAATGTTCTCTACTCTCCTTTTCTCCCTCTCTCCTTATAATCTTGCAAAATGCTGGAAATATATTAGAATTCCTACTTAATTCTCCTCCTCTTTATTTAGAGAGTACTATAGTTTGGGGACCTCAGGAACTTTCCATCAGGTCCAGACTGGAAGACCTCAAGCCAGGGCCAAGGCTCAACTGGCTTCCCTTGGGCCCCTGACGCCTTGTAGAGAGGTTCTTGGACCTCTCAGATACTGCTGTGACTGTGGTTTCCGGCTTCCTGAGTTCTCACACTCAGCTCTGTGCTGCAGATATGATACTCCAGTTCCTGCTTTGGAAACTGACATGCTCAAGCTTGGTGATATTCTGAGTACGTGGGGTCTGTGGGTCACAGCTAAGAGGCTTGCTTTTCTGTTTTAGTTTTTCTCCTTTCCCTTGACTCATTATAAAAGCCTTGGGGTTACATAAGGACAGAGTATAAAGTTTGCTGGGTAGAAGCTGAGAAAGATCACTTTTCTAATTGAATATCCTATCTTATGTTAGGTCTTTAGTTCTGTTTCTCTGTAGCTAGGGACATTTTGAAACACTCTCAATGACAAATCTAGTATGAAAGCAATCAGAAAATCATTTACACAGAACTTTGCAGTTTAAAATACATTTTCTCATGTTATTTAACTTATATGTGGTAGTTCTGTGAGTGAGGGTAGATATTTCAGAGTTGATGAAAAGTGATGCTTAGGAAGGGAAAAGACTCTTCCATGCAAGTACTGAATGCCTTTCATACTACTACTGTATACCTTGTGTGTATACACGGTTTTATTGTGGAGCTATCTTTTAATGGAATGAGACCATAGTTCTAAAATTGTTGGATACTTAGCAAGAGAGATTCTACTCTCTGTACTCGAGGCTGCTATATGTTCATTCTTTCACTCATTCACACAATCACAACTATTAGTAGAATGCCTACCCTGTACAAAGAATGACTCTAAGTAAGAAAGAATTGAGACATTAAGACTCACTACTAGTGAGATGCTGGGGAGGATCTTAATTAAGGCAGAAAAGTGGATGCTGCTAGGAGGCAGTGGTTAGACCTGGGCTTTAAACCAGAACTTTGCAAACTGGACTTCTGTGGCTAATAGTGAATGTCCAGTTTAGAAGAAGCTAGCAAGCCCGGTTTCTGCAGTTTTTTTTTTTTTTTTTTAATCAGAAAGAGCTTAACTCCCAAGGTACTTTATTCATATCTGTATCAAGTTATTTTTGCCTGGCCAGCATCAGTTCTTCCCTCTTTTCCCATTTGATGGAATATCTGTAGCTACAGATTGTTCCTCTTTTCTTCCCCTGGAAGCCTGGACTAATCCATGTGACCTGAGATTGACCAATCAACAGTGTCTCCTGGCCAAGATTTTTGCTTCTTGAGTGAGTGACTCAAAGACAAAGGGATGTTAGGATTGAATCCCAGCTGTGGTGTGTGCTGCTGCTGGCAGCAGCAGCTGCTGCTTCTTGCTTGCTTCTTGGAGTCGCTGTTGTGCCCGATTATTTTCCAAGCTTGCCCTCTTGTCAGTGCTCTGGGTCCCCAATATCCTTATATTTGTTTTGCTTGTACTTGCAACAGTGTAAGTGCTTGTATTTACAATAGGTAATACAATTTTTTACTTACAAATTGTGATGATTTCTTTACCAGGCTATGAGCTCTTTGAGAGTAGGGCCTAAGTCTCATTCTGCTCTGTTTTTGTTGCCCAGTTCAACCTGGGTCTTATATACATGCAGGTCGAATAAATGAAGAGATATGTTATATTTATCTGGGTTTCTTGGCATTACTGTGGTTGTGGGGCAAAAAAATCTGTATATGCTACAAAAGCCACTAACATCTGAGCAACTTCATGTTAATAAATGTAAACTGAGAGGATCCTGCAAAGGTTCTTTCTTCCTGTGTTTGAACACTTAGCTAGGTTCATGTAGGTAGTTCTGGTCCTCAAGTTTCTGAAGTTTTATTTTGTTTTTTATGTGGAGCGTTTCTCTAATTTGCATGTCATCCTTAGGCAAGAGCCACACAAATCTTCTCTGTGTGTTACAATTTTTGTATATGTGCTGCCAAAGTGAGCACAGCTGAAATTTTTGTCTCTGGTTTCCCAGAACCTCTTCCTAAGCACTGTCCTCTGACTTACTTCAGCTGAGGTAAGTCTCCAGCCCTGAGCACCTCTCCTACAGTCTCAGGACAAAGAAAAATATACCAATATTCTCTTTCCTTTCATTACTTCCCCAGATACACACTTAGCACATATTTTTCATCAAGTTCTGACAATTCAGTAGGTATAAAGAGTCCCTAACTCAAATTCCAGAAATAGACAAATACAACCAAGAGAAATAATAAACTATGTTAAGTGCTCTGTTGAAAACTGAAGTGATAAGGTAGAGAGTAATTGCCATGGGAGAGGTGTGTGATTGAGGGAAGCACTTCTAGATGATGTAGCCAAAGAAAGTCTCAATGAGAAGACAGAAACCTGCATGATGAAGTATCACCTTTGCAACAGTCTATTTAATGGCCCAGCAGCTGTAGAGAGCTTGGAAAGAACCATAGGAACTGACAGAAAGTCAGTGTAGCTAGAGGATGAGCACGAGTGGAGAATACAGATAGACTGGTTATTTTAAGCTGGGAAGTGACATGATTACATTTATGTTTTAAGGAGTGTAATCTGGCTGCTGTGTCACCTTTCCAATGTAAAATAAAGTTGTTATTATCCTCATAAATTACCTACGTTTAGCATTTCTCCTCGGGACTTTCCAAGTCTCATTGGGAAAACATCTTAGAACCTTCTGAGGTGGCTGCAACTCCCATCATGGCCCCTGGGAAATCACATGGGCAATTGGAATCCTAGGAGTTAATGAGGCAAAGTGGAGGAGGGGTAAGTACAAAGGCCCTGAGGGGAAAGGAACCTCTGGCTTGTTTGAGTACTTGAAAGAGGCTGAGAAATGGGGAAGCTGGATGTGTTAGAATGTGAGAGGTAGTTTAGGTCCAGACTTTCAAGAGCCTGGTAGTTAAGCTTACAGCAAAGATTTAGATCTTAATCGGAAGAACAGTGGGAAACAGGCTTTGAGCTGGGGATGCCTGTGATTTTATTTGCGTTTTGAAAAGCTCCCACTATCTGTGTGTTAAGAATGTATTGGAAGATGGAAGAGTAATGGGCTGATAGAGACCACCATCATTTAGGAGAGAAGTGATGGTGGCTTAGACCCGGGTGTTGGCAGTGGGATGGAGAGAAGTGGGAGGTTCGAGATGCATTTGGGAGGCAAAATTAACAGGGGATGGGTAGTGTTTAGTCCTGAGCTTCGTGTGATCTCAGCGGTTGCGGGTGAGTGGTACTTGGAGCTCGGGATCAGGGCGCCCGCGGGTTCCCGCGCGTCAGGGCAGTGGGCGTAGCTCTCCTGAGCCGTCGCCTCGGTGATCGGGTAGGGCGGGGCCGAGGGCGGGGCAGCTGGGGCCTGCGTCACTCGGTGGTGGCGAGGGTGCGTGTGTGTGGGGGGCGGGGGATACGCTGGGCGCGTCCCGAGGGTCACGTGGTGCACAGCACGCAGAGTCCTTCTGTCGGTTGGTCCTGGAGCGGCGCAGCCGGAGCGGGGCTGTGAGGTGAGCTCGCGGTGAGGCGCGGCGAGGCGAAGCCGAAGTGGCCAGCAGCTGTCTAGATGGCCTACAGCATTGTAACAGGCGCTCATCTGGGAGTTCAGCTAGAGAATGGAAAGTTGAGCTGGAATATGCCATGTGATGATCTCCAAGCAGGATGTTTGATATACGCTCCCAGACCACAAGAACAAGCTCTGAACTACAAGAGTAGACTTGAGAATTGTGGGGCTCAAAAACAAGGTTATTCAGAGAGACTACAAGAGAATCGGCCAATCAACTCCGCCCGAGGGGGCTGGGCCGGGGGTGCGGGCCCGGGGCGCGGAGCTGGCCTGTTGGGGGTGGGGGTAAGCGCTAGGGCCAGATCCTTATCTGTGTGGCCCCTGAGAACTCTACCACCAGCCCTTTCTGTTCGCTTGTGGTTTGGGAACGCGTTTTTTTTAAATTGACTCTTTTACCCTATTCTGGGGAGCACACCCCTTTCTTAAGACCCCGACTGTGGGAGTGTCCCCTTTTTCTAGTTTTGAAAATATGGCTGGCGGACCCCGTTTCTTAAGTTCCAGCTCTGGGATTTTATCTCAGTTTCCAAAGTCCCCCCAGGCAGATGTACCCCGTTCTTAGGCCCCCCCAAACTGGGAGGACACTTCCTTTTTCCAGCCTTCAGTCTGAGCAAGCACTCCCTTTCAAATTTGGGTGTCCACCCCATTAACGAGCCTCTCACATCTGGGATGCAGTAACCAAAGTTTTGGGGTACTTACATGTCTACAAATCCAAGGAAGAACCCCTTTTCCAGGCCCCAAGTCTGGCAACATGCTTTCCAGAATTTCTTAAATTTACAGGCCACTTCCTTTCCCCCAACCCTTCAAATCTGGAGTGCACCTCATATCCAGAGACAACTGAAAATGAGATCCAAATCCTGAAGTTTAAAGGTACATATTTGCCTTGACACAAGGGAATACACTGCTTTTTCCAGTCACCTTTTTCATGAATTCCCCAAATCGAACTACCTTATTTCCTGGAGGAAACTCATTTTCATGTCCGAGAGTGTATTTGTACTCCTAAACGTACAGAATGCACTCCTTTTGGTTACACAGTTCTCAGGGTGCAACCACTTTTCCTGATGCTTCTTAAATCTGGGAGGACACACCTTTTTTCTGAGTCCTCTCATTCCCAGAGGATGGTGCATGGTTCTTGAATTTTTCTGCCATCCAAGACATTTTCTTTCCTCAGTTTTCTTCCCTTTTTGGAACCCCATTTCCCTTTAGATGCTCTCTCTGTTTGGTCAGTGCACCCATTTCCTCCTCTTCCTTTGATGAATAGGTATTTTTAGCACAGCACTTTCTCTGCTTCTTTGGCCTTTTTTTCTGAGCACACTTTCCTCCAGTCAGTCACACCTGAATTCCCCTCCTAAAGGGGTGCCTGCATGTTTTCTTTCCTGTATCTACTTTATCTTATATTTTTCTGCTAACTGGAATTCTCTCTTGGCTTGCCCTATCCCCAGGCATTTTTCTGGTTTCGAACTCTCTTTGGACACTTCTCTACTTCTTGGTGGTGATAGATATTTCCCTCTTTCCTTCCCCTGGCGCTGGAGATGGCCTCAAGTCCAGGACTGCCCGATGCCTCAAGCGCTGGATTTAAACTGGGAAGGAATCCCCTCTCATTCTTTGGTTATTCACAGGACTCTTAATCCTCTTGGTGGTTGGCTTCCTATAACATTCTGCTTAGATGGGTACTGTTTTCTCCTTTTATTTCCCTCAAGATTCTTCTAGTCTTTTAGCTCATAAGATTCCTCCCTACACTGGCTTTCTTTTCTCAGGTAAAGAGGTCATTTGGAGAAATCTCTTAGTCATTCTTTTTGTTCTTGTCCATGGGATGCAGGTGGGAGAAGGATACTTATCTATCATCCCCTCACATGTATCTGTCAAGCCTTGCTCCCAACCCCCACCTTAAAATCCACAAATATCTGGGCCCTCTTCTCTCGTAAGAGCCTCTCAGTAAGTTCTTTTGTATTTCCCTCTGCCTTTCCAGATCTTACTCAGGGCTGATCAGCCTGAACCCCTAACCAGATTAATTTCTCCACAGCTGGAATCCCAAGTGCTTACGGGATAGTGACACCTCTGACCTTTCTCCCTTTTGGGAAATACTCGAGTGTGCAGCTGTATGAGGCCTCAATAGGGGAGAGAGTTTGGGCCTGAGAAGCTACATTGGCAGGACAAGGCAGGAAAATACTGCATTTTTAGGACCACGTCCTTCTCAGTGTCATTTGGAGATTGGATGTTTGCCAAGCACCTGCTTCTAAGAGATGCTGGGGGATTTAATGATATTCCCAGGAACGTGTAGGAATTAATGGGGCTTGTGGAGAATTGTTTTGAACCCAGTGTTGGCACTTGGATAAAATTAACCATTATTGTATTTTCAGAACAACTAAGGTGTTTTATATTTCGTATTAAAGAAAGCCTTAGAGCTAAGTTGTGTTATTTCAGGAAGTGAAATAGATCCCACGTTTTGATCATTTGGTCATTAGTAAGTATCAAATTCATTAAAAAACATTGGAAATCTGTCTAAGAAGGACCTAATAAAATGTGGTATACAGGAAGTGAACAGGTACTTTGCCTCTTTATTTGCCTGTTTGCTACTTTATCTATGTACTGCTATGTACAGTGCACCCTTAAAGTATTCTACACCACTGCTTCTCAAACTTAAATGTGCATATAAATCATTTTGGGGGAAGTCTTGCTCAAATGCTGATTCCGATCCAGTAAGTGTAGGGTGGGGCCCGAGCATCTGCATTTCTAACTTTCAAGTGATGCTAATATTATTGAAACACACTTTGAATAGTGAGGTTCTATGCACAAAACCAAAGCTTTCTCTTTGAAAATAGGAAAGTGGTGGTTAGCTTTATGCTGGGGTATTATTTTCCATTTTCTTTCTATCTAGACACATTCCTTAAAGTTTGTACAAGGCATGGCTGCCTTCTGAGGACTATTAGTTGTACTCGATTACAGTTATTCTAGCATTTAGCTTTTAAAACTATGGCTAAAACTTCTCCAGGAGTTTGATTTCTGTGTATTTTTTTTCAAATTTAAATGCCTAAATATTTCTTGCTTAAAGATGAACATAATTCTTGACATAGAATCATTCTGGTAAATACTTCATAGCTGATAATAATCAGCTAGCTTGTCTTGCTGCTTCCTCACCTGCCATCCTACCCTGGGTAGAGAGTATGACATACCCCAAGTCAGCAGCGTCACAGGTGTTGGAATTTCCAAGGAGTCCTTGGTTTTCTAGGTCCTGGAAATGGGCCAAGGAAAGGCAGGTGCCTGGACCTTGAACGGAAGCTGCTGGCTTATCTCTGTATGGGAGCTTCGTGAAGGTGAATGCTAGTTGGTAGATGATGAAGATTGTGCCTTATGATGATTCTTTCCCTTGTACCCACATCTCTAATCTATTTCTAAGTCTTGGTGGGTTTTTCCTTGCTAAATGTCTTA